TACATATATATATATATATATATATATATATATATACACACACACACACATATATATATACACACACACATATATATATACATATATATATATATATTTTATTTTTCAACTATTTAGTTGCTCTCACTTCACTTTACATTCCCTTTCTGAGCTAATCCATCCATACGTACCAGCTCAGTGCCTCTCAGCTCAGACGCAAGTGGAGGTACCAAGGACTAAAACGCAATTTTATTCTATGGCTTTCAGCCCAGCTTGAGACTCTGCATTGTCCTAGTGCAGGGGTGTCCAAACACCGTCCTCAAGGGCCATTATCCTGCCCATTATCATTCTCTCCATGCTGCAACACACCTGATTCAAATGATCGGGATCATTTTTAAGTTTTCTTCAGAGCTTGCTGATGAGCTGATTGTTTGAATCAGGTGTGTTGCAGCAGGGAGCAATGGAAAACAGGCAGTGCATTGGTCCTTGAGGACTGGAGCTGGACGCGTGGGTCTTGTCTTACTTTAATGGTGTCTGCTGCATTTTATATTATTGATTAATTTTTTTTCCCCACTGCCTTTGTTTTTGTATGACACTTTTTTTTGTTTTGTTTTTTTGGCCGTAGGTAGAGCACTTTGTAGCCAAGACTGTTTTGAAATGCTCTTCCAATAAAGTTGAGTTTGGTAAGTGAAAGATGTACATATGGATGATTATTGTTCTATTCAAAAGGCAGCAGGCGGTTGCAATTTAATGTCATACTCACCAAGCATGATTGTGTGTCTGAACACGAAGGATAGAATGTCTGAGTTGAGGTCACATTCAAGCAACTAATTCGTGAAGAAGAAAAATCATCTTTATTATTTGAATTGAACGCAGGTGGCACAGATGGGAATCTTGCAATTACGCATCAATGACCACACGATCATTGCGATTAGGGCTAAATGCTGAAGCACAAGATTTCTTTTGGAATAAGAAAAACTCACTTTCTATGGTCTAGGCTTGACATGCCCAGGTCGCCCAGGTGGTGGACTGGATGTTGCTAGTCCAGGTGGGTGTGTCTAGCCACACCCACCTGGTGGTTTAGGTGGGCCGTTTTCATCCCGAATAACTGGGGTTGGCTAGGTTTGTCTCGGCGGGAACCAAGGCGGTGATCCAGGTTTGAATGGTCATGTTCCAGAATATTTTTTGCATCCGGAGGAACAGATGGCCCAGCGGGTGGTTCAGGTTGCAGCGTGCTGGTCCAGTTAGGAAGGGTCGTGGGGCAGGTTAACAATTTGGTGTTCCGGTGGGTATTTTTTATCCAGGACAACAGGTGGCTGCACTGGTGTCTGCTATTTGCTGGGGTGGCTAATTATGATATGAAATAAAGTAGTGATGGAAAAGCCTGGCAAGATGGTGGGTGGGTCATTTTCATCCATAATAACAGGTGGCCCGGGTGACCCAGGTTGATAAGATGATGTGTCAGAAAATGCTGGATCAGGTGGTGGTGGCAGTGGCCCAGGCAGTGAACATGGTGATGACCCATGTGGCTAAGATGGTAGTGGCTAATATGGTGGTGGCCCAGGTGGCCAAGGTGCTGGTTTACCAGGTGGCCAAGGTGCTGGGTGCATAGGTGGCCAAGGTGCTGGTGGCCTAGGTGGCCAAGGTGCTGGTGGCCAAGGGGGTCGTTGCCCAAAAGGCCAATGTGGGTAATGTTGTGGTGGCCCGGGAGGACCTGGTGGTCCAGGTAGCCCTGGTGGACTAGGTGGTCCTGGTGGTCCAGGTGGTCCAGATGGTCCTGCTGGTCCAGGTGGTCCAGCTGGTCCAGCTGGTCCAGGTGGTCCTGGTGGCCCATCTTTTCCGGGAGGTCCTGGTGGCCCATATAGTCCAGGTGGACCCGGTGGCCCATTTGGCCCTGGGGGACCATCTGGTCCAGGTGGTCCTGGTGGACCATTAGAGCCTGGCTCACCATCTGGTCCAGGTGGACCTGTTGGACCTTGTGACCCTGGTGGACCCTGTGGTCCTGGCGGTCCTTGTGGACCCTCTGGACCTGGTGGCCCTGGTGGCCCTGGTGGCCCAATAATAGGTGGCCTTGTTGTAAAAAATGGAAACCCAGGTGGTCCTGAAGGTGGACCAGGTGGTCCTGAAGGTGGACCTTGTGGTGACCTAGATGGGAATGGATGTTACTCAGATTGAACACTGTCACCTGGAAAAACATCTGTATTGGCAGACACGTTACCTCTTTATCTTAGCAGAAAGACAGCTGTTTCCTGTGAAAAAGAGTTGACATCTTTGTTACATGGTGACCTTTCACTTCCTCTTTGTTACTTGGTAGTTGAGAGTTTGATGATTTACCAAACAGCACAAGGGCAACAGCGAACACCTTGAGAATGATCATCGTGGCTGATGATGTCCTAAAAGACATTGAAAAGGGTAAACATACATCGAGAGAAAGTGAACATGATGTGAGAGCTGGCTGCTTGCAGAGCGTCATTTTGTTGAAACCCAAGTTCCATGCTGAACCACAAGGTACCTGGACTGTCCTTGGGAGGAAGGCTGATAAATCTCATCCAATCATAATGTTGTTGCCTTTGGGTGGAATTCTCGTATTTACTGAAACCACTCCTTTTCAGGAAATCTATATATTTTTTGAGTCGCTAATTGCTCATTTATTATTCTGTCATTGATGAACATGGTGCCAGCACCAAATATGCATTTCAGACTCAAAGATCACACAGAGCCTCACCGTTGTCAATAAAGGCTTGCATTGTCGAACACAGTGGATGACCCACATATTCGCAGTTCCTCGCCTGTTTGTATATGATTGTTGTCAACTTTAAAATACTTGCGTGGGAACATCCCCCATTTTATATGGAAAATGCTTATTGGCAGCATGTCACCAATTTTTGAGGGTTAACCAGTGGACAAATAAGGTTGGTTTCATACCTTTCTAGCTGTTTTGTTCTTTAGTAATTCGTTGGAGAACATAGCAAGCAACATAGTATCGCATATCTTAAACAAAATGCTCCTGCTTCTCACAGAACTTGGAGAATAATAGCATTTTGTGGAATCAAACATCAAGCAGAACATAGTATTTGATGCTAAGCTTTTTGCTTCTGTGTCTCCAACATTTGAATTGTGGTTCCATTAAATGAAGCATGGAAGCAACATTTCGAAATAATGTAACACACATTTCATAAATATATTACATCATGGATTAGCAACTGGTGGCCCGCTGGCCGCAAGCGGCCCATTCTTTGAGTGGCCCCTTGATTTATTTGAAAAAAAAACAACTCAATAATATTACAACTTTGAGTGAGTTGATATTTGTAAAAAAATGCACTAAATTGATCCTTACACCTTTATTGGTTTGCTATTCTGCTGATTTAAGACACCCTTGAATGGTAATTTTTTTGCGTGATAGCCCTTTTCACTGGAATTTTAAAAAATCACAGTGGATTGTTAATTTTTTATTGTTCAAACTCGTTTTTGAAGGATGGATCTTTTACGACGTCACTGAGAAATGTATTGTGAAAAATGAAATATGTTGAGAGCATGTATTTTACATGTACTGTATGTACAGATTTAAAATGGCATTTTTGACATACGTCTGGTGTGGAAGTGTATGGTCCAATGTAACCTGAGTTAAAATGCATATTTTCCCCTTGATTGGGCAAAGCGCAACACCAAACATGTCCAACATTAATGTTGTGCTCACTGAAGACACTTCAAAATGGAGAAAGTACTCACCACCACCAATTTTGCTCCTCAAACCCCTCTCAGGCCTTGCGTTGTTGAGAGTCCTGCTTCTGTCTCTCTTCTGTCGTTTCACAGTCGGTCATGAAGAGCTTAAATCACTTGCCGGCCACCATTAAGGTGGGGCCCTTGTTAATGAGGGTGGGTCATTTAATTGATTTCCTCATGTTTTTACACAATTACAGTCTGTGGTTTCTATTTGGCTGTGACTGGCTGGCAACCAGTTCAGGTTGGACCCCACCTACTGCCCAAAGACAACTGGGATCGGCTCCAGCACGCCCGTGACCCTTGTGAGAAAAAGTGGATGAGAAAAGGGATGGGTGGATAGATGGTTTCTATTCAGTGGGAATTGCCAAGTGATATTTCTTCTTTATGTTGATAAGCTGTAATTCATGAGTTAATTGAGTCACTTTGAAGTCAATTGAGCACACAAAAGGTCACCGCCACTGGAATCTTACGTGCTTTGTACGTGGAGTCATAACATGTTTTCAAACAGCTCGTACATATTTATTTCTTATTATTGTTATTTTTTGTTGTTTTTTTTTTTTTATCTACCTGGCAACAAGTCGCTGGGTGGTATCGGTCAAGAAGGCTACTGTGGCTTTGCCAAGAGGACAAACTGGTTTGTCTCCTCTAAGTCAGTTTAGTACCATCACGAAATCATGGCAAATTTCCAGCCATCTATCCATTGCCAACACCGCTTTGGCAAGTGTACTAATACCCTAAGAGTAACTATCATGACACATCGTGTGTTGTGTGTATTATCCGATTTCAAAATTTAGTTTTCAATTATTTACAGCATGCGGCTGAAAATAAAACACAGCTTTTCACCTGTTACTTATTTCATTGTGTTGCACCCTTAATGTCAATGTGAAAAACAAAATCAAATTATTTGCCATATTAACTAATTTAATGCCAAAACATAAACATACGTTGGATAAAACCCTATCATTTTGTGCCAAAACATGAAAATGTGTTTTTGGTATTAATTAATTAATTTATTTTTTTAATATATTAAAGGGCTTCACACAGTGGACTTAGTATCGGTCTGTCGTGGTTAAGAAGGAGCTGAGCCAAAAGGTGAACCTCTCAATTTACCCGTCGAGCTACGTTCCAACCCTCACCTATGGTGTTCACGAGCTATGGGTCATGACCGAAAGAGCGAAATCCCGGATACAAGCGGCCGAGATGGGTTTTGTCCACAGGGTGTCCGGGCTCTGTCTTAGAGATAAGATGAGAAGCTTGGTCATCCGGGAGGGGCTCAAAGTCGAAACGTTTTTCCTTCACGTCGAGAGTAGGCAGATGAGGTGGCTCGGGCATCTGATTAGGATGCCTCCTTGATGCCTCCCTGGTGAGGTGTTCCGGGCAAGTCCCACCGGCAGGAGGATCCAGGGACGACCCAGGGATGACCCAGGCCACACTGGAGAAACTGTCTCCCAGCTGGCCTGGGAACATCTTAGGAAGAGCTGGAACAAGTGGCTGGGAAGAGGGACGTCTGGGCTTCGCTGCTAAAGCCGTTGCCACGGTGACTTGACTTGGGATAAGCGGTAGGAGATGGATGAATGGATGGATGCTTCATACAGCTCCTCAGTCATTATGAAGGCTGTGAGATTGATTTCAGTAAGATAAATCACCACCAGTTGGCAAGAGTGGCTTTGATCAGGCCTTGCTTCACAAATGGTGTAAGTGTGTGAGTTGTACAGTACACAATCCCACATGGTGAGGTGGCATACAAAAGCAGTGTGGTGGTGAGAACATGGACAAAATTCAATGTTCATGAAAAGTTTGTTTGTTTGTTTATTGAACATAAAACATATACAGTAATAATTTGACAGAAAATAAGGTAAATGAAAGAGTAAAGAGGAAAGAGAAATTAGTCATCATTCAACACAGTTATTATGTTCAAGGGAGTAGGAAGAAGTAAAGAACTTATCTAGTCCTACCCCGTGTTATATGTTTATATCTATTGAATCATTTTTATGTCAATCAGAAAAGAAACAAAGTAAGAAGAAAGAAGTTTCCATTAAGGCTCATACTTTACCCTTAACCGTGATATTTTTATACTTTTGGTTTGTATCGGGAATTTATACATACACACCCTGGCACTCTTGTGTTAATTTTCTCTTGTATTCATAATGGATATTTCAATACCTTTCTCTATTTATCAACCTAGTTCTGATTCATTGTATTTAATGTTTAGAATTTATCATTTTAACTCTGATTGTTGTAGGTAGTTTGTACTATTTTTTTGAATTTGTTTTTGAACTCAGCAAGCATCAATGAAGGATGGAGGAAATGTATTTTTGCAATTTATGCGTTCTCCCAACAATATTTTTTTTAAAAATCAAAACACCACTGTGAATCGAGGTGCAGACGAACCTTGGGACTCATTATACTATAATGATGACAATGTAGCTACAAACGGACGGAGTGGGTGGTGGAAAGGATCGAATTAGCATAAAATGGATGAAAATGTGTTTCTTGATTGTATTGTCCTCACTGAAGGCAGGACCCATCATGTTCAGTCCATGTGTGACAGCAGCTTGTGTACTGTATTCTGTCTTGGAACGAGGCAACCACATGCTGCTTCACCATGTCTCCAGATGATGTACCCACATGTCATTGCCCGGTTTGTTACACATCCACTCTATTTTATATTATGAGCCTTCATGGGTTCAATGATTTCCGGCTTTATTTGGCATTATTCGTTTTAGAATGGGATCAAATGCTGTGGCGGGCCGTGGCCCACAGGCTGAAAGTGTTATTTTCAACCAGCCTCCTTCTTCTACTTCCGTCTCGATTCCTGAGCCGGCCTTTGGCCAAATAGGCTCTTTGTCTGTCTACGCCTCCTCAGCGTCACTATTAACCTGTCGGCTTTCAGGGATGGGGGTGAGGGGGGGGCCTTAGCAACCGCCCATCAACACATCCAAGAAGCAAAAAATTCCAAGGCACTCCCTCCGACTGCCTCATTAGAGGTGCTGGATCGGCTGGAAAAAAAAAAAGAGAGCTCATCTGAGGTAGTCTGAACGGTGAAGCAAATAGCTCAATTTGGAGGAAGTCATCCGTAATGTAGAATGTCATACGACAGCCACAGTTGCTATATCACCAGCTCAGCTAATTTAATAGCTTCGCACCCGTTGTTCTAGGAAACTTTCATTACTAAATGTATGAGGTACTGCCAGCTAACTTGGGTTTGGTGGGGTGGGGGGAGAGCTACACAAAAGACATTTGCACAACAGGCATGAAGCACAAACAGAAACGGATCCTGGTCCCCCCCAAAGGGGATTCAGTTGAACCAGACAACCGAGCCAATTACCAGGAATTGCCAAAACCTGCCCCGGTGGCACCGACTCACAGGAAACAAGGCAGTTGGACTCGCAATACCTGATGACATACGCAAGCAAAGCCCATTTCACACAGAGATCCTGCAAAATGGATGCATCTGTGTCGTGACAGAAAATACGAAATTCTTCTCACCACTGTGGTGGCATTGCGGAAGAGACGTCATGGGAAATTCAACAGAGCAGGCAAAAACAAGATGCTACATGTGACATGAGAAAATGATGCGCTTGTCGTTCGATTTGCTGAAGCAGCATGTGGCTTGTTAAAGGTTATTTTGTTCCAGGTAACGAAAAAAAAATATTTGATCAAGAGGCTC